GCGCCGTGTGATGAAGATTTAATCATTGCAATATCACGTTTCCCTGTGTAGAGTAATCACTGTGGTCCAGTGATAGAGTTCTACTGTATAGTTCCTGGTTTTATACCAGATTAATATCCTCTTTTATCTACAGTAGCATTGGATTTAAACGGTATCAAATTGTTACTTCATGGCGACCCCTGCTGGAGAAAAAAAACCAAACGTTTAATGATTGATTTTTTTTAATGATAAAAACATTTTTATTATTATTATTCTTTTTAAAACTGATTAAAAAAGCCACATGCAATTTTAAACAATTATATTTCTTCACTTTCATAATTATAAAAATATCTGAGCTGGAGAATTGTGATTGACAGCTCTGATACTTTGTGTAGTAATCAGTCTACTCTGTATTTGCAACACAGTATAGGAAAATGAAAAACAAAAAAAATCTCTGTGGTCACCAGACATTTATGGTGTCAAAATGAGGAGTCACAGCCAAAAAGGCTGGGAACCACTGACATAAACTGTCCATAGTAAACAGTAGGTGTGGATATAAATATGTGGTTCAGGTCCAGGTTGTACTCCCTTTATCATTGCTGGTATTAGTCCTATTAAATAAACAACGAAGAGGACCAATGTCTGTAAGACATATGTTAACATTTTTTCGATTTTACATTCCTTTTATTTTTTATGTTTGTACAACGTCCACTTTATTGTTGAACCTTATCATCCTGAACCAGGAGTTCAGTTCAAACAGGAACACAATTTTAATCTTTCCCATTGCATGATGGTTCCTCCTCTAGTTGTCCTCCTGGTGTTACCTCAATGATGTCCTAAATATATTTCAATTGTATTGTGAGTCATTGTCAATATACTTCTTAGCTTTATAGTATAGTATAACCCAGTCATAGGCAAACTAAGGCCCGGGGGCCATATGTGGCCCGTTCATCTTTTTAATCCGACATGTCAAACTTTTCCAAATTATATCATTTATTTATATTCTCATTATACTTCTGCCTTTTCCCTGCAATACCCATGTTTCCCCAATAGATGGCGTATAAAATGATAATGCATGACTTTTACATGCCATTTATCTTAGTTCACACTAACACTCCTCTCATCTGCTCCTGACCCGGCCCCCCTTATTCAATCTTAGGACAATTGTGGCCCGCGAGTCAAAAGGTCTGTCTGGTCTAACCTCTGTTTAATTTCGATTCACACTGATTTATGACTGTAATTTTTTATTTTTTTTTGCCCTGCAGAGCCTGAGCCGCCACTTCGATTAGAAAAGATGGAGGAAACAACGAACAAAATAAGCCTCGCTCTAGAGGTTCAAGAAGAAGGTTCAAGAACAACGCCTGGTAGGTTGGATTGATAATATCACTTAGTCCCAGCAGATGATAAACACAACTGATTTCCAAGGAGTAGGAATTTATTTTGCACATTATTTTTTAACATTGGTGCAATACTATAATTCACTATAACCCCAAAGGGTCTAAAAGTAAAAGATTATAAAACAATGGGAGTATTTGAATAGTGATGTTTGGAATGAAGTTTGGAGGTCCACCAGTGAGTGGGCCTGAAACCTGACACCCACCCACGATCTGTTATTAATGACAGCTGTTGTCTTTCAGAGGTGCTCCCGGACTGCCGCAGTCTGCCTTGCCAGAACGGGGGTACGTGTGTGAACCAAACCGATGCCTTCATCTGTGACTGTGCCGCTGGGTTCAAGGGCAGACAGTGTGAACTGTGTAAGTACGCCCCCTCTTTGTTCACATTTCTACTGAGTTTCTATTTTGTGGAATTAGCATGTTGCTAATGCAGCACGTACATGCTGGTGTTGTTAACTGGAGTATCATCCCAAGGAGGGTTAGCAGAGAGGAGCAAAATAGGAAATACAACTTTTATTCCTAAAAGCAACAGCCCGTTTTGAACCAGGATCTGATACAGTGATCAAACACAGCGGACCTCAACCTTTTTTGTGCCATAGATCAGCCGGTATCAGCTGGGAATACCGCGCCATCGTTGAAGGATCATTACATTTTCAAAATAAAATATCAACCCACATATCAATTGACCTATGGACCGGCCATCCATCCATCCATCCATGCATCCATCTAAGCAACAACATCCATCCATCCATCCATCCATCTAAGCAACAGTGTGACATTTCCATTGACTTGATTCCAGTGAGATAGTATCAACCTCAGTCTAAACTTTATTGTGATTCCATGAACCATGTGACATGATAAGAGCCATTCACTGTTCCCAGGCGGTTGTGATGATGTGTTACATAAACAGGCAATGAACAAATAAAATAATAAAAAGTCAAAGTCGTAGTAAAACATTTACCGTTAACCAGTACAATTGCTTTGTCACGAAAACATATCAGCAACTGTCAGCAGCATCAAGTCACATTAGTGGAGTACAGGGTGCTTACTATTAGGGGGGAATGGGTGACGGGGGGGCAGGTCGGTTATCTAACTACCCCCCAGGGTAACTTCTACTGACCAGGATACTGTAAATTCCTCTGTTGCATTTTAAACTTCCGACTGCTTCACAAATAACTTAAAACGTTCTAGTTATTTGAAAACCACACATTGAGGTCACGTTGTTGATGTGGTGGTGTTTGCAGATGTATCCTGGCCCCTTCTTCACTTAAACAACCAACTTCAGATTGTTTAAACATTCCTTTCCCTGAACTATTCATCAGCCTCGGAGAGGCACACGACTCCCCGATCCGTCCAGCAGGGTATGCTAGACCGACGAGACCTAAATCATTCTTACCTTTTGTCTTGTGACGACTCTCCGCAGCCTGCCAGCGAGTGCCACACCCGTGTACGCGGATCTACTCGGAAACAAAGAGCGTTCCGGTCTGGGAGGGAGGAGTGTGCCACTACCTGTGAGTCTCCTCCTGCTCTGTTGTTGACTTCCTGTAAACACACTTACACATACAACCCACAGAGACTCCTGAATGCTCACTGATCCGTGCTTCACGTAAAAAACAATAAAAAAATGCACATTTCTTTCTAGCTACTATTCAAATGATTAGGCTAAAGTGATCTACCTACATTAAAAAGGTAAAGGTAAAATATATATATATTTACTCATATAAATTGCACATAATTATTATATACAGTATATGTTTTGGGCACTGATTGAATACATGTAGTTGTATGGCACAATGCGGTTTGAATATTATAGTACAAGTGTGTCAAACATACGGCCCGGGGGCCAAAATCGGCCCGCTTGGTAGTTCAGTCCGGCCCGCTTGATGAATTTTGGGATATTTTTTGAAAAATTATATTTCATGAAATATGAATAAATAATAATAAATATCTAATATACTTGTATGTGTTTGCATGAAAACATAGGGGGAAAACATGGACTTATTTATAGTTAATTATTATTAGGATTAAACCGGTGATGATTGTACTGGTCCGGCCCACTTGACAGCTACCAAGGTTGCATGTGGCCCGTGAACCAAAATGAGTTTGACACCTCGTTATAGTACATAGTCATTATCAGCTTGTTGTCAATATCCGTCCATTGTAGAGAACCTCAAACCATTGTCTCTTCAGCAACGTCCAGTTATTCCCTCCATGCATTGACCAGCCATGGGGCAAGCTGCCATCAGGAATTATAATGCAATATATTGTGTGAATTAGGGGGCCTCATAGTGGCAGGGGGGTTCAGTATCCTATCCTTCACAGCTACAGTGCATACACAACAGTCCGTCCAGGGTTTATACCGACTTTGCTTGACGACTGCTGTGATTGGCTGTAGCTCCTCCCTCGACCTTGAAAGGGATTAAGCAGGGGAAGATAAATAGAATTCTAAAGTGTGTATGGGTCACACAGTGGTGTGCTTTATAGTTAGAAGATCACTGGTCTTCACGTATCTTGATTAATAACATTAATAGAACATTAATAGAACTCTACATTCTAGAGTAGTTTAATCTATACAGTCTTCCATTTACATCCGGCCCTTCAAGGGGAGCTGTATTGCTGATGTGCCCCCTCCCTCCCCCCCGGAAAATGAGTTTGACACCCCTGCTCTAAATTGACCATAAGTATGAATGTGAGCGTGAATTAGTGTTGGTCTCAATATGTGGGCCTGCAATGGACTGATGTACTGTCAGGGTGTATCCCCCCCTCCCTCTCCCATTGACAGCTGATATTGTCTCTCCAGCACCCCCTGTGACCCAACAAAGGAATTTGTGGTAACTGATGCATTCATTGTCCCAAGAATGAAGGACAAGTCCTAGCTTTGCGTATGCTTCTCAGACCTTACAACCTGAAAAATCAGACCCTGTCACCTACGTTAAGAGGAGATTTGTTGTTGTCTTCTCTTATTCTTTTC